AGTGGCTTTTTGGTAAGGCCAAACTCTAATAAGCAAAGCTTGAGATACTGATACATACTAAACCATATGTGTAACTGATACTTGTACCATGGAAATTTTCATTGAGTTTTTTCCTCATTCTAAAAAATAAGGGACTATAAATCTGTTTTTATAGCCGATTCCTCAACTTCCTTATATATGCCTCTTTATATAATAATTTCAGAGATTAAATATTGCTTTACACTGTGATACTTTGGTTTATTAGATTGACAGAGCTGATATTAATATAGTTAAGTTCATCTTTGAAATACATCTTTGTGCATAGAGCCAAAAATAGTAAAATTAATCATTGTTCACATGTTGTTTGAAACTTATTTGGCATTTGGAATGATCGTTTTATTTCACAATCCTTTATAATGAAACAATGTTCCAGTTAGCTTTAAAAGGTATACGGTGCTAATTAGTAAAATACTGAGGGCAATATTTTACTGCTAGCTTGCAAAATTATGAGTTTAAAAAATAAAATGTATGAAAATATTTAAAGCTGTTGAGATGTGTTTACTTATACTTCGGAACATTTAAAACTCAGATCAGAGAGGTACAATTATCTTTAGTCTGTCCTTCAGGATTTTAGTTGATATACTTTTAAATTTAGAGATACCAATTTTCTTTATCTCTTTTTTTTAAAAAGATGACCGGTAAGGGGATCTTAACCCTTGACTTGGTGTTGTCAGCACCACGCTCAGCCAGTGAGCGAACCAGCCATCCCTATGTGGGATCCGAACCCGGGGCCTTGGTGTTATTACCACCACACTCTACCGAGTGAGCCACGGGCCGGCCCAGATAGCAATTTTCTTTGAAAACTGAGTGTTGTAGTAATTAATTTTAGCATTTTTAGACAAATGGGAACAGCTGGCATTTATCCCAAACTAGCTATCAGCTGTTGTTTTCCATCATTATCTAAATAGTGTGGCCAGCATTGTGTATGTAATGTGCCTTTTCAGTAGATTGGAAGAAAAGCCTCTTACTAGGTTTGAGTTTCTCTGACATAAATCCTTTGTAGCAGCTAATTTATGAAATCTAGCAAATGAGCTTTGGGAGAATTTTTTTTTTAAAGTGTTCTCTTTTTAAGGAGTAATCTCAGCAATGATAAATCATTGTGGGATTTGGAACACTTTTCATTAGATTTGCCGCTCAAGAAGGAATCTTGTTCTGCTCTTCATAGGTCCTATTTTTGCTTTCAAATGTAATAGTAGTTAGAGATGCAGAACAAAATGAATATTCATTTTTCTATGAATGTTAAAGCTACTAGTGATGTGTAGGCAGGCTCCAATGAATATTGCTTTTAAGACAGCATGAGTTTATGGATGTGTTATGTCTCATCTCAGCCAATAAAGAAGTCTGCGGCTTTTCCTTTGCTCTGGAACGTACAAATTATTGCTTTCTTTCCATGTAGAATTGGGAATCATCCCTCCACTTCAGTTTTCTCTCCTTAACGCAGTTGGGCAAATTAATAATCTCTCCAATCTTCAGTTTCTTAATCCATAATAGGGGAATAATGTCTACCTTATCTAGTTCCTGAGCATCAAATATGGATATGCTTTTTAAAAACAGGATGCTATGTAATTGCAATAATTTGTTTAAATCATTCATTCTTAATGTGTAGTTAAGAACCATGTTAAAAACAGGATTTTTTATACCAGCCAGCCACCAAAAAAAAAATTTGTTGTAAATCATCAAACCTCTGTTTTTGTAACTATTCCACTTAATGTTGTAGTTTAAGGACTAGCTGATATGTAGCATCTGTTTTTCAGAAGGAAGTATATATAATGTGAATTGGAATACTTGGCGTAAATTTATGATCCAGGTTGTTGAAAATCTGCAACTTTATTATTATTATTATT